TGGTTGTTGGTGTTGTTGGGTGGTGCGGGGCGCGCCCCACCGCCACTACGGATATGCTCATGGAGTTGGCGTTTTTCCAAGCGTGCTTTATCTCCAGGACCCAGTTCGAATTTTGTTGGATCAAGGATATCTGTTAACGGTAGTACGCGCGGAGTCTGCAAAAAAACCACTTGAAATTACTTTAGAATGAGATGCAGAAAGTGTTAACATAGCAAAACAGTAAAAGCAAGGCGATAAGGAAAGAAAAAATAGACATCACAAATGCATAAGCAGACAATGTATGTCCCTCCACTCTATTTTGTCGCCTATTTCGAAGGGGTGCGATATACACAAAAAAACGCCACGACCAAATCCGAACCGAAAAATGCGAAAAGAGAAGACCAAGAGAAAAGAAAATGCAGTGAGGAGCATACCACTGATATCCTGGCTTGTTTTTATGAAAAATCTTCCTGGATACCCTAAGGATGAAAGTTATAGACATGAAGACTGGAGAAAGGAACTTCAGCTTTTTTTAAAATCTAAACTCACTTGTTGAGGAACTGATGCTGATGCATTAGTTACAAGAGTTTCAATCTGAATGAATTCATAAATAAGTAGAGACTCCAAGCTATAACCATAAGTGAGAACTCACAGGTCGCTCAACTGATGGTGCAGTGAAAACTTGATGTTGAATTGGCATGACGGCCGCCGCAGGGCGAGGCATTTGAGGCAGTCGCCTGAGACAGAGAATATTTTTATGCAACAATAGGCAGGCGAATTTACAGAGATAAACAGCTGCGGCGACATGACAAAAGCAAGAAGTCGCTAAATTAAAACCAGAAACACCTGTGATGGCTGTGATGTAGGGATTTCTTGCCATTGGTTGGATTGGACAGGCGTGGCAGCAGTTGCCAATACTGGGTCTGAATTGACAGACTGGGTTTTCAGTGAAACCGGAGTGTCGGGTAAACGATGAATGGCCGACAGCGTTATTGACTCAGCTGACACTGACGATGAAGGCGCGGATGATCGCAATAAATCTGAATGCCAAACATTGGAGAGTACGCTGCCAATTCATTCAAACATACAATCCGTTCATGGGAATTATCGGCTGAATCGAACTGTTTATCCACAGCTATACTTGGAAGAGATTGCTATAAAAAAAAGTGGTTCCAAAAGAATGTTTTACAACCGAAATGCACAGGAGCAAAAACAGTTCAAGAGCACTATTTCGGGATCCTAGTTTCACTAGACGTTCCAATCCTTCACCTATTAACGAACAAAGGCGAAAAAGAAAATTGCGACAAATCAAGCATAAACTCTATAACACTAGGAACAATATACCTCCAGTACGAAATGAAGATGCAAGATGGTCGCAATTAACCATACCAAGCGACAAAACATTCAACAAAGGCACACCTTGATTTTCCATACTCTTTTGGCTGCGGTATCATGGCTGGAGGCAAGTTCGCGTTGTCTATGATCCCATCCAAGAGATCCTGAAATGTGAAAATTATAGTTAGCTAGGCCAACAATGACTGCGGCATTGGCATGGTACGGAAACTGTTACTGGTTGCGCAAACTCACCACGTTAGAAACAGCTTTTTGAGTTGATTGGTACGTTTGTGGCGAATTTTGTACCTTAACAAAATAGAGTTGCAAAACATATTTCATTTCATACAAATACGTAAAAATCATTGGAATACGCTTGTCGGGTAGATAATACAAGAAGTATACCATTTGATTGGGCTGAAACTGCTGTACAGGTGGAATGGGTGATGTGTTGGGAACCATAGCCACAGCTGGAGCACCCGCATGCCATGGAGACGGCGCCTACAAAAAAGCATGAAGAATGAAGTGTTTATTACAAATAGAAAATTCGCTACACCCACTATGTATTAAGGCACCATATGAGGCATAACTGACCACATTTGATGACACACCAACATGCCACGGCGAGGCTCCCACCGACGGCAAAGGAGCAAATTGAACAGGGGGCTGACCCAACTGGGGCGCTTGAGGCGACGGAGATGGCCCTTGTTGTTGAATCTGTGAAAAATCAACAATAGGAAAATAAACGAGATGCCAAGAAGTAGATAACCCAAAACACTAGTAAGAACTCAAAGTAAATAACACTCTGAAAAATACCTGTTGACCAGGTGCCGTCGTCTGAAATCCTTGCGTTGATGGCATTCCAATTCCGTTTTTTGCTGGATTCTCTGGACCACCCACATTTTGTTGGGGTGGAGCACTATTATGGCTCATCTGTCCATTAGAGAGTGTATGTGTATAGGGTCCACTTGTATTCGAAGTGGAACAAACTAGGCCGCCATGCGGTGGTAAAACAGAGGATGGAGCATGTGGTTGACTGTATTGTTGTGCGTAGTGCTGACTCCCTGCGTGAGGCGGACCGTGGCCGTTTTGGGGCAGTGGACCTGGCTGATTCTGCACATTAATTCCACTTCCAGAAGAGACTATAGGATTCTCCACAGAGCCGGGTTGCTGTGCGGCATGGTAGACAGGCTGTTGCATGTAATTCGATGCAGTCTGCTGTGCTGCAGCAGAGAATGTCGCCGGATGTGGTGCAGGGGACATGTGCGGTTGCTGCATTCCCGTAGATGAGTAGATTATGTGTTGTTGAGTTGGTTGCACAGACTGCATGGGCAAATGTTGCAGATTAGGCTGTGGCACCGGAGGAGCAGATCCTGGCTGAAAATGTCATTTCACTACAAGAGTTCCGAAGCTGTGGAATAAAGTAACCTAAAGTCATAATTTTCACTTTCTTTTCCTTTTTTTTGAAAACTTCTCACAATCCTATCAAGTGAAGATGCATTGGAGGAGTTGTAAAGGAGTTACGTTATCATTTTTTGCTAGAACTACACAAATAGTATCGAAAGCTAAATTCATAGCTAGGAAAGCGCTCAAAGGAACTCGTCCCAGTCCTCCTCAAATTTGCAGATGCTTAATATTTGAAATTAACTTCATCAGATGCCATCGAAAGAAACAATTGTGGAGGACAGAACAAAACTTTCCCAAATGATTGGTGTTTTGGATTTCTAAGCTACGATAAGTGATGAATTATGTAGTCCTTAACCCAAGTAGAAGACTGATCTAACAAATTGTTTTAGAAGAAATTTGGGGACGCTTTACAATTTTAAGCTCGTATCTAAGGGAAAACGTCCTATAGAAGCCAAATGACATTTTCTAAGCTAAATACACACAGAAACCGACCGAAGTTTTTAAAAGAACAAGCTGGCAAAGGAATAGCCAGAGCACCACCGTAAATTTGAACAGATGAGAAAAAGATTCTCAAATGATATTTGAAAGAGAGAGAGAAAGAGAAAGAAGGAAAACAGTCTGACCTGCTGCACTTGGTTCCATTGCGCAGCACCTGCAGCAACGCTTACTGAAGCTATAGGTGTGGCTATCGCAGGAGTTGACATGTTCTGCATCCCTTGATTTGACTGGTAGTGCTGTGGCGCATAAATAGGTGGAGGAACTGGCGCTTGGTGTTGTGTTGACGAAGACATTTGTGTATGGTTACCCAGTGACTGCATCTGGTTTGTGGGTGTATAACGCCCCTGTGCCGTCATAAGTGGCGCTTGGTGCACACTGCTTGGAAGAGACTGGACTGCAGGCTGCAGGTGCTGAGGTAGACTCAGAGCAGGATTCTGGGCAGCGGCTTGCGCAGCATAAGACATTGGAGGCATTGGAGGTACATGTGAGTACTGCAAATGATGAGGCGCTGGGGATGAGCGTCTGCCTTCATCGTGACGATGATGGGGAAAATACGCAGGAGAATCTGTAAGCAGGTAGAATATTTCTTGGAATCAATTTGTCTGAACAAGAACAAACTCACCAGGTATGCTACTTGGAGCAGGAGAAGGTGGTCCACAAGTGTAGTGATCAGGAGGATAATTATGTGTGTGATGGGTGGGTGCACCCGGGTACCCGCCCACTGATGCGGGACTTGGTTGAGGTGGTTGGTAGACCATGGGTTGGGGTGCTGGGAACCCAGCTGATGCGGCCGACGATGCTGCCATTTTACTGAGGTAAAACTCTTTGTAGTCACCGAAGCGAGGACGACCGGCTAAAAGCAGACAGTAAGTATGGAAAATTGTAGCTTAGAGAAGAAAGAGTTTCGAAGTACCTGGCACAGCGGCCGCAGGCTGAGGTCTAGATCCTGAAACGCCACCAATAGAAAAGTCAGCCAGTGCCTCACGAGCTTCACTAGCCCTTTTGAGCGCGGCCATCTTCTCCTCCAATGATCGCTTTTCGGCTTCACGTCTTTGACGTTCAGCTCCAACTTAAGACAAAGATTAGAACACAGGCAAAGTTTGAGGTAAGGAAAACCTAAGTTAACTTACAAGCCGTCTCAATACCTTCAACTGCAAGTGTAAGCTTACTGAGGCGATCTAGCAGCTTCAAATAGAAACTGAAATAAAAATTTTCGAAATAACAACTCTCACTACGATTGGAACAGACGTTCATAAACATTCCACTCAAACTACTGAAAAGAAAGAGTGATCTTCCCCAGTTAAGTTTCTATGTTTTTTTTTTTTTTTTTTTGTAACACTTTTCAAAGCCGACAAAGTCGTATGGTTCATGCAAAGATTCCTACTTTACTATAAGCGCTTTGATTGTCGTTCTGTCCCGTCGTGTTCCCCTCTGTCTGTACGTAGTCCATATGTCCCTCTGTCGTTTCTGTCACTGTCTGGCTCACTGGAAAGTTGCGCCTCTAGTCCTCGCTGAGCCGATGGGGATGGGAGCAGAGCGGTCAAGTGTGGGACGGGTGGGCAAGGTCCAACGAAGTACAAAACACACATCAGCTGAGCGGAGCCCCGCCCACAGTGGGCGTGGCGTGCGTCGACATGAAGTGTACTGACGACCGAGATTTTAAGATCTCTTAGAAAACGGCCTTGAAACTGGGCCAAAAAGTGGATAAAGGTTTGCATTGGTGAGTAACACCGAATTAGGGAGACCCACCCCCGGTGGGCGGGGCGTTCTCCAAAAAAGCAGTCTTTTTTGTGAAAATTTCATAGTTCGGTTGGGAGAAAAGCTAAAGCAAAAGACAAAAATTAGGGAATTGATATCAGGGGATGCAAATGATCAATCAAACAAGGATCAAAAGTTCCGGCGATAAAGGTGATGTAGGACAGGAAACAAGCACCGAACACACAGAGGAAACGCGGGGCGAGACAGCGCGTCATTGGACAGCGGAAGCAATTATCTCTACGACGTCCTCACATAGTACGGGCCGGAGGAAAAGTCTTAGTGAGACCGGGGACAAGGTGGAGAGAAGGTGCGATGGGGGAAAGAGACAAGGAGACCCAACATGTGCATACGCGTGAGAGCGGAAAAGGTAAAATATGACCAAAAAGTGAGCGGAAGTTTGCGAAACGAAAAATATATAAGTCGGCTCAAGAAAGTTCCGAGAGGCAAAGACGGACGAAAAAAAGCGGTGAAGGATAAAAAGGTGCATTGTGGAATGAGAGAAGAGGGCAGCTATTAAAGTACAAATGGTTGAGGACGGGCCTTAGACAAAGTGTGAGAACGTGAGAAGTTTCGCAGAACGAAAATTCAGTAACTCAGCGCTCTATGAGTCCAGGAGGTGAGGCGGAAAACGAAAGTGAGATAAGAGAGTGGGTCGGAGGCAAAAGTGAGAGCGTATAAGTAGTCCATGGAAAAGAGTAGAGCGCAAGACCGGACACATAGCAACAAAGTGGAAGCGGAAGTTAAGCGCAACGAAAGGAATAACTGGCCTCCATTGAGGTTAGGACACGACGTGGCGAGAAAAGAGTAGGAAATAGAGGTGAAGGTGAGGAAGGAGGGAGAGGATAACCGTTAATGGGTGAGGCGGGGCCATTGACGCAAATGGAGAGAGAGTTTGACGACGTCAATTCAACTCGCGCTCCAACAAGCCAGAGAGGCCCGGGGAAAAGAGCTGGGCAAGATAGAGTGTGGGTGGAAGGTGAAGAGGTTATCAGAATTCACCAAAAGGAATAGATGCGGACGGAGGGCCACTGACAAGTGGGCGGAAGTTTGCGACGTGATTCATAAGTCGGATCAACAAGTACCGGAGGCGGAAGGAAAGAAGATGAGAGAGGTGGGTGGAGGGCGCACAAAAAAACATAATCCGCAGGAAACCACCCGGCAGTGAGCCGCAAGGGTTAAGAGCCGGCGAATACCATGTTCGTTTGACGCACCGGAAAAGGTTGAAGCACGTTCCGCCATGAGCTGTCGCGCATCGCGGACTTGCATTTAGCCCACCTCGCCAGAGACCTACTCTCGATATTGCGTACTTGCTATCAAGCCCAATATCGAGAAAAATCTTTTCTGATTAGCCCACTATCAACAGATTGCCCAGGCCCCATCTCGCTGCCCTCTGTCCGCGCCCATTGCGTGCCTCGGCTATCAACGATCCACCCACCCCCTCACCCCCAAACAACCCGCCACACTCGGTTTACGAAGACACTCCCACTTCCTTCTGCCATCCTCCACTTCTGTCATATAATCGCTATGTAAACGTCATACGCAGTTACCAAATGTCATGATATGTTCGGAACGCCTAAAACCGCACCTTTCGGAATCGTGCTCAACTCAAGTCCTACTCACTTCCTTTCGTAGGTATTCAATGTAAACTGTCCTGTCATCAAGAAATCTCAACAGAAATAAAAAAAGAAAATGAGGCCAAGAGAAGCAGTAAAGAAAAGAGCTAAAAACACTAAGACAACGAAAAACCCAGTAAGGAAGTACTAGAGACCCACGTATTTAACGACGCCTTGATCTTCTTCCTGTAGTCGGAAAAATCCGCATTGGCCTCAGTGAGAGCAGATAGGATTTTTTCCTGAGCATTCAAATTTGCGTCAAGATATTTCAGTGTTTCATCGTGTTTTTTCAACTCCGTCGAGAACATTTCCTGCAAAAAGATGAATCTAGGAAGCGTACTCTTAACAAGTAAAGCGCTTGAAAACTGAAAAAACATCAGGTCTTCACCTTGTGGTCTGTGTCTCTTTCAGACAATAGCTTTTTCGCAATATTGTCATTATTCATCTCCTCCGTGAACCTCTGTAACAGCTGTACCCGCTGAGTTTGCATTTCACGAGTTTTATCGAGCACGCGTCGCAAAGCAGCACCCTCCTTCGTCGAGCCTCAAATAAATAAGTTGCTCTAGTGCTATTCTGCAACACTTCACAGAAATGGAACAGTTGTGATTTGCTTTGTTTTATCAACTGATGTTTTCGTTTTATTCGCAGTGTGGAAGTTTCACCTCGTAATCGCTGGAACAGAACGAGTGTGCTGGAAGCGTAGAAAGACTAATCTCAATATCTACCAGCACCTACGGAAAAAGCAGTATGGTGCGCTACAGGCAAAAACTGTTGGATTAAAAAAAGTGAAAACTGACCAGCATTTATGGCCGGTCCAGCAAGCTTAGATGTCAATTCAGTTATTGGAAGACTGAGCAAATGGAGATTCGTGGAGTGTGCCGCTAATGCTTTATGTAATTCCACATTATTGGACCTGCAAGGCTTGAGTTAAAAAACAGGTGGAATCTTCGTTTACAAACTATTGGCCCTTTGAACCGCCACAATTGATACTTCTACCTGCGCTCTCTCGCCTAAACAGCGGCTCATGACTACTATGATCTCACACATTCAAAGTTTTGCCACACTGCAATTGGCCCACCCACCCCGAAGTCCCTCCCCCGACCAAGGCTCAATTTTTGGGTATCCAACACGAAAAATAGATCACAAAAAATTAGAGGTGCATACAAGAGCGATCCACCAGGTTTACTGGGAATGCGAGGTTATAACGAACAAAAGATGTCCCTTCAACGAATCAATAAGGTTGAGATCAACACCGTCAAGGGCAGAGAAATGCCAGAAAAGAAATAAATTGG